AAAAAAAAGAAAAGCATTAGCACTTCCTCTGCCTCCCTAGATGTTCTGGGGTGCTTGCCCTCTTACTGCCACTCCCGCTGCTGCTGTAGCTGTTGCTACCTTCCTCTCCTTGGGAGCTGGGTGAACTTCTATATTCTCATGACCAGGCTGAAACTTTCCAGACATTTTTAAATCCGAAAGGTCACAGGAAGTTAGCCCATAGTACAAGAACCTCTTGCAGCCTGGACTAAGTGGCCCTTAAGGGTTTCCATAACTTACTGTGGTTTGGAAAAGTTGCTCCCAGAGGCACATGGTGATGGCTTGGTTCGCAGGTGGCCACTCTCAGGAGGTGGTAGAACCCCTAAGATGGTCTCATGAGAGCTTTGAGTCATGGGGGATGTAGTGGGGGTAGCTAAACCCATATCTCTTCTCCCCCTTAATGACTTTGCTCCTACACTCTGACCATGAGACACTGGCCAAGACCTGAAGCAACATGGACTGAGCCCACAAGATCCTTCTCTCATTGTCAGTTTCTCACCTCAGCCTTTGTTACAGTAAAGGAGAGCTGACTGACACAACCTTGACAGGGACTATTCTGGATTTCTTGCTCTCTACCTGCCCCAGTGTGGAAAGCCCACCCCTCAGGAGCTCCTTTCTCTCCCTTGATGCATTCATGATTTGAGCAGAGGGATTTGCTGCTTGCAGACACTCAGGGGTTCCCTCCCGTTCTGCATGTGGCCTAAAGGATCCCCTCTTCCTCATAGACTGACTTCAATATCTAGACAAGACCAGCAGACTCCAGCAGTGTGTGCTTGGTCTATAGCTTCTACTTACAACCAGATCTTAAAACCATGTCACCTTCAGGGAATGCATACCTGTGAATTGTGTGTGTGTGTAAGAACAGGTCTGTTCCTTGAAGTCCCTCAGGCTGTAGAGAAACTTGTTAATTCCTTTCCTTAATCAAAGAACAATGCTGTTTAAATGAACAACAAGGGATAGAGACAAGTACCTGCTTTGTTCCTGGAACTGCTCCTGGTGCTGGGTGGAGAAGCAGAGGGTGAGGGAGGCCATATGCTGAGGGCGCCTGTGGTCTTGGGGCCTCTGCGTCCCCTGTGCAAGCCTTGTGCCCTGCCTCCATTTGCTGTTCACTGCTGTTGTCTGATTCTGAGCTTAGCTTCAAAGTCAAAGTGC